AACACATCCACTGAAACACACACAGAGAGAGAGAGAGAGAGAGAGAGAGAGAGAGAGAGAGAGAGAGAGAGAGAGAGAGAGAGAGACTGAGAGAGAGAATCCCTCCTTCCTTCAGCCCAGAGTCTTTCTGATGATCTTTTAAGTGTTGTGGGCAGCATCTGGCTAGAACATCTCCTCCCCTCCCCCCCCTCTCTCTCTGTGTGTGTGTCTGTCTCTGTCTCTCTATGGCTGGAATCCTCCAAAGTAAAGGAGACAGTTGGTTTCTTTGAGAGCTGCTTTTTAGATGGCGGCGCCCTTAGACGCTGCGGCTTTGTAGTTAGGAAAAAAGTAGTCTACACCGCTGGCTTCATCCACTTGCACCGGATGCATCAGTGGAGCTAACTAACCGCACCACACACCACACACCACACACCACTTTGACAGAAACAGCAACTCTGGTAAAAGCAAAGGTGGGGGACTTTGTATTTACACACATAGTAACTGGTGTTCTAACAGTAGAGTTGCTTATGCTCACTATTCTGCAGATGCTTAACTGTCATTTGTTGGCCATTTTATTCACCTAGAGAGATTTCTGTTATAGTCATCACTGCTGTCTATATTCCGCCTGATGCAAATGTTAGCGCAGCACTCTAAGTTACATGACGCCATCGAGAGGCAGCAGCAAACTTACCCTGAGGGCGCTTTTGTCGTGGCTGCGGATTTTAATCAAGCCGATGTAAAGTCCGTGGCACGACATAACCGCGAAAGTCAAAAGCACGCCGACAACACCGTGACGCTAAAACCGCAAAAGTCAAAAGCGCGCGACAACAGCGCGCCGACAGAAGCGCGATTTAACTTAAGGTAAGGTTTAGGTTTAGGGTTAGGTTTAGGGATAGGGTTAGGTTTAGGGTTAGGTTTAGTTAGGTTTAGGGTTAGGTTTAGGGTTATTTTTAGGGTTATGTTGTTGTCGCTGTTGTCGGCGCGCTGTTGTCGCGCGGTTTTGACGGCGCGGTTTTGTCACCGCGCTTTAGTGACACGTGCTTTAGTCGACCGCGGTTTTGTGGTGGAACCTGTAAAGTCTGTTCTCCCTAAGTTTGTGCAGTATGTGCAGTGCACCACCAGAGGTAAGAATACTCTAGATCATATGTACTCAACCTTAAGACAGGCATATAGAGCAATCCCCCTCTCTCACCTGGGCACATCTGACCACATCTCTCTGCTACTGTGGCCAAAGTATATCCCCCCTTAGGAAAAGGATACGGCCAGCCTTGAAAACTGTCAAAATCTGGCCGGAGGGAGCACTCGGCCAGTTGTAGGACTGCTTTGAGACTACCGAGTGGAGTATATTTGAACATTTGGAGCTGCAAGAATTCACTGACACTGTACTCTCCTACATTAAAACATGCACAGACAATGTAACAGTGAATAAGTGCATCAGAGTTTACAATAATCGTAAACCCTGGATGTCGTCAGAGGTACAATCACTTCTGAGAGCCCGAAACTCCGCCTTCAAGGCAGGAAACGAAGACAAATACAATGAAGCCAGGGAAAACTTGGGAAGAGGCATTAAGGCGGCTAAACAGAAATACAAACAAAAGGTAGAGAAGTATCTGGAAGATGATAACTCAATATTAGGCTTGATTTTAAAGCAAGATGATTGCACATGTATATTGTCCTCTTTTATAACATGATATTGTCTAGGTAATCATTTACATGTGATTACATGTTATGGAAATGGTTAATAAAATTTTATAAATGGAAGATAATGACTCAAGACAGGTGTGGCAGGGGCTACAACACCCAACCAACTATAAGGGCAATACAAAAAAAAATAGCCAATGCTAATGCCCTGCTAGTAGAGGAGCTAAATAGCTTCTTTGCCCACTTTGAAGTCAAAATATCAGTCTCTGTGGCTCTAGTCCAAAGGCCTCTGACCTCTAGCCATTCACCCTGGATGAACATCAAGTGAGAGCTGAGCTGAAGGCTGTAAATCCCAACAAAGCTGCAGGTCCAGACAGAGTGTTGGGGAAAGTGGTAAAAACCTGTGCTGACCAATTAACCGGGGTCCTGA